TGGAAATATTATTCGTCGTGACTTTAATCATGCCTTGATTTGTGGAATCTGGTCACTCACCAATTGAGGAGCTCTCTCTAAACAACAATATGCATCGAGTGGTTTTTGTGTGCGTCTCAGATGCACCTTATTGTTAATGTTGAAAGCGTGAATAGTAGTTGGAACCTTGAAACCCTTTGACATCTCCGTGGACTAAACTCGCTGTTGGTGTTCGCAGTTTTGAATTCGTTGTGACTCGCCACAAGGCATAAGTAGTGCGAATACTTTTGCCAAATAGTTGCAAGACCAAACAGGTTACCTCCCATGCAGCTTATTAATCACTTAGCTCCCACGAAATGTGCTTCTCTTTTGACTGACCTACCATTGCTGCGGTTTGAGGTGTGTTCGTCTGGTGTCACGTACATGTGACACGCATTCTTCCCACGAAATTTCCTCCAGAACCTTTTGCGGCAGCCTTTAGCACATCCATTCAAACTAATTGACTTGATAATTTTAATTCAACTCAATGTAAACAGTAGTGGAAGCGGAGTGCTAGTGACGAAAGAATAAAGGTAGCAGTTGACCTTGAATCAGGCTAGTGACCATGGGCACAGTTGGGTAGGTATAGCTTAATTTGTTTGCAGGCTTGCAAATTGCACTCGAATGTGAGTGTTGAAGGATCGCAATGGGGCCTTTTCCTGTTTGATATTGGTTTGATTGAGCAGGTCTCATTGACGTTGCCCTGAATGTCTGTTGACCTTGAGTTAGGCTTGTGAATCATTACCGACCTCCGTTGACACAATTGAGTAGATTTAACTGAACTTTTTCATGCTGATAAATTACACTTGCATTTGAGGTTTGAAGCATCATTTTGCGGCCGTATTCTGGTCACTTTTGGCTTGACTGAGCAAATTGGATTGACGTCCTTGCGAATGACCATTGACCTTGAGTAAGGGTAGCGAGTATTTTCCTGACGACCATGGGCACAGTTGAGTAGATTTAACGGAACTCGTTTGCATGCTGGAAAATTGCACTTGAATTGGAGATTTGAAGTATCGTATTGTAGCCTAATATTGGTTAGTTTTGGTTTGACTTTGCGAATCCCATATACTTCTTTCCGAATAACTGTCGACCTTGTTGTACGCTAGTGAATACGCTCAGGCCGTCCTGTTCACTGTTGAGTACATTTAATCAAACTCGTTCCTATTTCTCCAAATCGCGCATAAAAGTGACATTTAAATGATTGCATTGTGGTCTGTTCTTGGTTAGTGTTGGCCTGAATGTGCGAATCTAATCGGCTTCTCTCCGAATTACTGTCGACCTTAAGTTACACTAGTAAGTACATTACGACTGTCCTATTCACCTTTGGGCAGATACAATCAAATTCATTTCCATGTTTCCAAATTGCACTTGAATTGGAGATTTGAATGATTGCATTGAAGCCTGTTCTTGGTCAGTGCTGGCTTGACTGCGCGAATCTCGTAGACTTCTCTCCGAATGATTGTCGACCTCTAATTAGGCTATTGATTTCATTTTAACTCTAGGTGGGATTCCTGCTATTTTTTGGCGTTTATTTGCATTTCGTCCTTCCCGTCTTAAATTGCGTTCTTTTCTATAAGTAGCATATTGTTATTTTGAGTCAACGTGTATATACTGTGTCCTTGTTATATTTGTCTTTTTTTAACTTCTACTAACCCAGCGGTTTGGACTTCTGAGGTGTGATTTGAAGTCTTCGTCCACCTTTAGTCCTTTTAGACATATATGGATCTGATTTTTTTTATAATTTCAATTGCAGAATGATACTTCTCGCGTCTGATGGCATTGCTGCTTAAGTAGACCTCAAGCGGGGGTCAAATCTTGATATTTGTAGGTTCCTCTCAATGTACTGATCC